GTTTCTGTAGTTCCATTATTTAATCTTAGCCATTAATTGAACCATTTAGCTTCCTGGTATTGTCATTCCTTATCAGCCGGTTCCTCTGATCAGCTATAAACCTCTGTCACTTAAACCAAATGAATCTAGTCGCTCTGGCAGTTAAACCAACAGCCATAAGTCTCAGCGTCTAAAGACTCTGCGTGATCTCTAGAGAAGACCTCTGGTTTTGGAACCACAGCGGAACACTGCTACAGAAGGTCCCAGCAGAGCCTCCTGATTGGCTTACTGAGCTGTTAGGATATTTCATCATCCTTAAAAATAAATATTAGGAACTATATTTATCAAACATTATACTGGGCAAGTAAAAATTGTTTCTGGGCAAATGAAATGTGAAAGTCACTTGCCCTTTGGGCAAGTGGTAAAAATCCTTAACGTCAACCCCTGGATGGACTCAGATCTGAACCTTCAGAGGTTCATAATTAAAGGAATAAAGTTGGCGTTCTATCACCTAAAGAGGAGGTTTTCAACAGGGAGCCGTGACCCCTAGGGGGTCCACGGAGGTACTGCATGGGGGTCTCAAAAGTTTTGGTTGATTACTTTTTTTTTTATATTCCCCCCTGCAATTTTTTCCACTAGATGAAATGTCTTTAAATCCACATTAACATGAATTCAACACACTGTAGTAAACAGATAAATGGAGGCATTAGATGTCTTTCAGTCATCAATGCACACATTCAGTGACACACAGGAGCTCTTTCAGGCTGGGCACCGTTTCATTCACAACACCAGGAATCTGAATCAGAAATACTTGAATAATCCCAGGGAGGAATAACTTTTTCTTTTTTTTTACATTACTCCATATTTAATAGAGTGACTATAGGACCAGTTTGATATAACACAATGTCATACAATATATATAATTAGGGGGTCCACGCTCCATCTGGCCATCAGTTTCGGGGTCCTTGCCCTGGAAAACGTTAAAGACCCCTGACCTAAAGAACATCTTTGGGATTAAAGGACAAAGGTCTCAGCAGGACCTTGATAAATTGCTTCGTTCATCTTTAGTAGAAGTGATCCCTGCAGTGGTGTCTTCTACAGTCTGCTAAAAAAAGTGGATCAGACAGGTGTAGCAGATTCAGAACGCTGCTCCCTGCAGAACATCACCCCAGATCTAAAGTCTTTTCTCTGGCTCAATGTAACACAGAGAAAAAAAACTTTAAAATCCTTCTGGTAGTCTAGAAATGACTAAATGGCTGAGCTCCAACATACATTACAGACTGGTTGGCAGTGGATCAACAGCCAGACCTCTGAGTTGACTAAAAACCTGTTAGTTAGACAAGCCTTTGACTGAGAGATGTGAACATTATGGTTTGATGTTCATCTTTTCATCATCCTGCCACTTAAATGTTCTCCTTCATGCTGTTTCTTCTTGTTTCCATCATTTTCCTCTAGATATATTGTTCTCAGAATAACCAGGCCTTGACTTTTTTAAAGCATCTGAT